ATGATGAGGGCAAAGAATGTACAAATGTGCTTTACACAATTGATGTATGTATGGATTGTGATAAGAGTTGTATGAGCCCCTAATAAAATGATTAATTTTTTTTTTAAAAAGGAAAAAAAAAAGATTACTCAGTTACGGTGTTTTTCTGAGACTTCTGACTCCTCTTGCATTCTACTTTTTGAATGACCCATTATGTTGTAAATAGTTTCCTATCTGCTCAGTAGGACAAGAGACCTTTGGCAGGGCTCAGGGTAAGACTATATGATCTTATTCTGCTAGAAGAGTGGCTGGTGAGTACCAACTACCTATTCCAATGACTTAAATCAGAATAAGGGACAGAGGTCAAGTAGAAAACTCACCTTGTAAACTTTTGCACCTTAGATGTAGATTCAGGGACAAACATGGGGATGGTCCTTTTGTGTCTAAAACAAATGTTTTCACAGACAAATGTGATTCACTGAATGTACTGAGTAACAAAAGCAAACAGAACTTTTTGAGCCTCCAATGAAGTGTAGCAAGAACAGATACAAATTTTTGCCGACCAGCTTGGCCCATCCTCATAGGGCTGGTGCCTTAACTCTGTTCCTACGTTCTATAAAGGGGCAGGAGGATGCTGCAGGAAAAAAAAAAAAGGACTGGTCGTCTTCATATATCCAAATCCTTTGCCACTTTCAGAGCCAAAACTGAATGCCCTTTAATTCCCGGACCTTCCCAAGTCACCTCCCCAATGCCTAGGGCCTGGCCTATCCAACCCTGGAAGCTACCCACTAGATTCCCAGCCCTGATTCTGCCACCTCTCTACCAGCCCCTTCCTTTCCATGTCTTGCACATTCCTCCAACCTCTTAGCACATCACTGTCCCATTGACCTCCCACTCTTCTGGACACCCACTGCCATCATTTAAGGCCAGATGACCTACTCCTCCTGTGGGCCCCAAGATACTCACATCTATAACTTGTTGTTGCCTTTACCAAAAAAGTTCAATGTCTCCCTTTATCTCCACTGTTCTGGGGCTTCTGAGAACACACCTATGTAGTCTGGACCCCAGCAGTGCCAGGCATAGGGGTCTCCGAACCCAGTCTCAAGAATCTAATGTTTCCTATAGGGTGCTGTGACACTACCTGCCCATTCCACCTAAAATTCAGGCTGCAACATGAATCTTACTTCCCCCAGGGTCTTTGCCCAGATATCAGATGCCCCCTCCAAAACTTCCCCAGGCTGGGTTGCCAGGCCCCTAGGGACCCAAAGGGGCCTGACTGCCCCTGTCCTAAAGCAGGATGGCCCACCAAAGGGCAGGCTGTCGCCCAGGACTCAGGATGTATCAAATACCTACCGGCCAGGTGAGAAGGGTATGTGCACCACCCCATAGCCTCGGACCACATCATTCCCAAATAAATCCGGTCCATACACACTGAGCACGATCTGTGGCCCTTGGGAAGGACAAGGTGATGGTCAGCATGTGGGAAAATGTGGGGGAGGTATAATGTAAAAATCAGAGTGGTGGACATGAGAACTTCACAAGTTAATCAAAACAGATGGGGAGGGTATAGGGATCCAAAACCTGCAGGCCAGTCATGCTTGGTCTGTCTGTCTGTTTATTGCTGAAATACAGAAAGTTACTGATTTTTGCATATTGACCTTGTACCCTGAAAGTATACCAACTTAATTCTAATACTTAATCTGTAGGTTATTTTGGAAATTTTGCATACACAATACCATCTGTGAATGACAGTTCTGCTCTTCCTTTTGAAATATTTAATTTCTTTTTCTTGTCTTATTGCACTGGCTAGTAGTATCTTCAGTACAATGCTGGTGATAGCAAACATACTGACCTCAGAAATGTATCAACATTTCTATCTTACTATCAAATGTGATGCTTTCTTCTAAGTTTTTTTATAAGTAGCCTTTGTTAGATTAAAGGAATTTCCTTCTATTTCAAGTTTGGTAAGAGGTTTCTACTCCCATCACCCCTATTAAGAATCAGAAGTATTTTCTTCCTTTATTGGTATGATCTTGATTATTCTTTTTCTAAGATGGTGAATCACAAGTGATTTCAGAGTATTATATAAACTTGTGAATTTATCAGGATGTTTACTGGATCTCTTGTCAGGATTCTGTTTTCTTCATGTTTAGGTGTAATCTATGGTGAAGGCTATAGTCTTTGACTTTCATTAGTAAGTATTAGGTTTCAGTCAGCTGCACTGTCAATGAGATTCCTCTAATCCTAATGCCACATTATTCTTAATACAGTTGTTTCTCAGACTATTTGTTCAGCTTATGGAATGAATAAATAAAGTGGACACAACCATGCCAAACAACTTTTAGTCTCAGCAGGGGCCATTCAACCTCAATTTTAAAAATTAAGTTTTGTTCTTTCCTCATTATAAATTTGCTTTCTGTTTAATTTGTTTTTATTCTTTTCTTCCACTTTTTTGGGTTTAATGTGTTCTTGCACTATTAAAATCGATGCTTAGATCACTAATTTTGCAACATTTCCCATTTGCTAATATATGCTTTACATTTTTTCATTCTGCGATTTTTAATTCCCTCAAAAATAGTTAACAGATAATTGAGCTGCTGTGAATTACTTAATATGGTGCTTCTAATTATTATTTTTGTCATCTCCCACCAAATGACTGGGTAGGACTATACAAATGTGAAGTGTTTGTAACTACTAAGGAGACTGGAATAGCATGCTAATAATATACAGCAAGAATGGTACCCGTGTGGGTTGGGCATATTCAATTAAGGTCCATTTTGCCATCTAGCTGGATTTAAAATGAAGCATAAAAGATCTTACTAACATCAAGAAAGAAGAACCAAAATTGGGGCATGTCTTCTGGCCCTGAGCTGGACCTCCTCAATCCACGAAGAGAGATGGGTGACACTGGAGAATGCTAGCAACGTAGAATGCCTTTGGGTATGCACAGAAGAGGTAAGAGCTTTGACCACTGCCCTGTAGCAGAGCAGGGGCCAGACCATGAACCTCCGACAACTACCTGACACTATATTGCTGCAACCATTGCTGAATGATCTTCAGCAGAATTTTACTTGCATGTGATATTAATGATATTGTTTGATATTTTCTGCATTTTGATTCTGAGTTGTACTGCTATATTTGGGTTTAAATCTATCATCTTACTACTTGCTTGCCATTTTTCCTGCCTGTCCTATGTTCCCTGTTCTCTCCTTCCTTCCTCTTGGAGTAATGTTTCCCCCTCATTTCCATTATTCTATTAGCAGTTAACCTACAGATTATGACACATGTCTTTATTGATCTAATGTTAACTGGTAGCTGTAGCTTCTTTCCCACACAATGCAAAAATCTTAGAATACATTAATTCCACTTACCTACCTTCTAATTTATAAATTATTGTTGTCAATATATTTTAATTTTATATGTATTAGTGCACACAAAATGCACTGTTTTGTTTCCTTTACTGCAACTCTGCAGGTGACAATACAAATTCTTTCTTTTTGTCTTACTATACTTGAAGACTATTTTCACAGAATAGAGAATTCTACTTATAATCTTTAATATCTATAATATCATCACTTTAAAGATATCATCCTGGCTACCCATGGTTTCTATTGAGAATGTCCACTGTCAGTCTAATTAGCGTGCCTTTGTTACTTCAACTCCCAGAAAACACGGAAGAATTCTACAATGAAGCCTTGATTGTTTATCACCTAAAGTCTATCATTAGCATTCTACTATACTTCAAAATAACTCAGTCATTGCTGTCTAGTTGATTCTGACTTCAAGCAGCCCTCTAGGACAGGGTAGAAAGGTCTCTCTGGATTTTCAAGACTGGAAATCTTTATAGGAGCAGAAGGCGTCATCTTCCTCCTGCAGAACAGCTGTGATTCTGAAGTGACCGTGTGGTTAGCAACCCCACTTATAACCTATCAGGGTTCCTTCTACTATACTTACTTACTTACTTCATCACATATCTATCCTTCCCTCCCACCCTATTTTTGATGTATATCAAAGTAAGCTGCAAATATCTATGATATATGTAAATTCCCTTTATATACATCACTAATAACTAGAGTTCAGTAACTGTTCACAGTTGAGATAAAATTTATATATCATGGTAAGTGCACAAATCATAAAAATTCAATGGATTTTGACAAATGTATACATTTGTGTCACTCAAATATGGCTGCTATTAAGATTTTTCTTTTTGCCTCTGATTTTCAACTTGTTTTACTATTAAGTTCCTAGGTGTGGTTTTCTTGACATTTATCCCAATTTAAGTTTTTCTTCTTGAGTCTGTGGTTTGATATTTTTCATCATGTTTTGCTGGGAGGAGGGTGGGATGCAGCTATCTTGCTTTTGTCTTGTTCTCTCTTAAGAGAACTCTAATCAAACATTACATTAATCAAACATTATTTTGCTTGTATTTTGTCTCTATGCATTCTTCATATTTCCTCTCTCTTTGTTTTTTTGTTTCACTGTAGATATTTCCTTTTGACCTAGATCGTGGTGGGAATTATAAAGACATGGTTAAAATAGATATAAGGCAATTTCACTTCACCACATTATTAGACTCATTTTTAAATATGTCAAACTTTCTAGTTCTCTGACCATAATTCTAAATCTTGCCTTTATCTCCTTTGATCATTATGAGTATAATTCTGATCACTCCAGAGCCTGTTTGTCTCCATAGCCTAATTTTGCTAATAGATATTCATATTGTTTTGATTCCTCTGTGTCTCTTCATTCCTTTTATTACATGCTAGTCATTAGATTTGAAAAAGCATAGAAATAGGTTGAGGTCAAGGAAATATTATCCTCTGCAAAGAGCTTATTTGCTTTTTCCAGGTGTCTTGGCCTGTTATGATCTAGGCATTAATCCAAAAATCAGGGAGTTCAAATGATTAGGAACTGGACTGTAGCACTGGTGTGGGGGATGGTCTACTTCCATTTCTCCATCACTCCCAGGGTACAGTTCTTTTGGGTCACAATTCAAATTACACATGGTATCTGCCACGCACCTCCTCATATTCATACAACCTTTTGGAGGGTTCGGAACATATATATTACTTTTGAACCCTTAGCCCAAAGAGGCTGTCAGAAGTATTGACCAGCCTCTCAATCACCTCTCCTACAGGAGATATGAGCAGGGCCACAGTTCTGGATTCTTGCTTTTCTTCTGGATATTATTATTAAAACTTCATTACTTTGCTAGTTCTCTAAAACCTTTAAGTAGGTCTCTGTCCTGCCTCCCAACACATACACTTATCAACTAGTACTTTGCTTAGCTTTCCTAGCTGTCCTCAGCAGGAAGAGGTTGGTACATTACCCAGGGCACCATTCTAGGAAGCCCTGGAGAGCTTTCTCAAGAATGGATAAGGACAGTATGGTGGTCCTGGTCGAAGAGATCCACAGGAACCCTTGTCCTGGTACATAGGCAGCCTCTGCACCACCCCTTGGCTCAAGAATCTGATCTGCATTCACAATATTGGTAGCTATCCAACACTTCAGTGTGGGGCCTGCCTCTTCCACTCTGAATTGCACAGCACCTAGAAGATGATTGGATCTTGGCAGGGATATGAAAACCATGAATGCAAATGGCTAGAAAGTACATCACCACAGGCTGGTATAATAGGCCAGGTGGCAGGCAATGAAGCCAAGAGTGAGTGGGGTGAAACAAAAATAATTTCCCTAGGTATGTTGTCGGAAACCCACCCTTCCCACCACACCCCCAAGACTCACAGCCAGAGGGGTTGGTGCTTTTAAAGGTAACATCGATGGGAAAGTTCCATGTTAGCAGTTGCCGCGTATCTTGACTCTTGGATGTGATCTGTGAGATGCCCTCCTCCAAACCCTGTGAGGGCAATAACATTGACAGCTAGTATCTAGACTTCAGACATTACACTTATTCTCCTCTTTTCCCATCATTACCTCCTTGGGGCTCCATAACCCTACAAAACCAACCCCTTGCCCTATGCCCTTGGTCTCATTCCCTCTCACTGTTTGAAGGAAATAATTTTGTCAATTTTTCACTCTTCTCCTGTATCGTCCTTCACTTTTACTCAGATCATTCTCATCAGCAGACATACATATTCTTTTCTCTATCACAAGATAGTACTCTTTTGTCTTACCTCTTCCTCTAGTTATCAACCATCCTTTGCTCACTTTTAGAGCAAAACTCCTTGAAAGAGTGGCTGATCTTGGATACCTCCAGTTTCTACTGTTTCTCTTTTTGACCTCAATATGATGACTGGTCCCACTACACCAAAGTATTCTCATCAAGTGACAGATGGTCTTGACAATGCTACATCCAAAAGCCAAATATCTGTCCTTGTTCTAACAGAAATATCAACAGCATTCGTACACTGATGCACACTCTGATCAGGATAAACCTTCTTTCCTCAGTTTCACAAGCGTCTAGGTCTTACTACCTCATGGACAGCTCCTATTAGTCTCTCATCAGTGCCTTCCTAATACTACACTGTCCCAAGGTTCTGTGGTTGGCCTACTCTTTTACTTTGCCTGTGGTCTCATGTAGGCTCACACCTTTAACTGAGGTATGTATGTTGATAATACCCTGATTTCTGTATCTAATATGGTCCCCTCCTCTGAAGCCCAAGTGATATATCCCCAGGAATCCTGTTGCCTATCTCACACTTCCACTTTGATACCATTTGCCATGCTGAACTTTATATAGATATCCACTCCGTCTGCTCTCTCCATAATCTCTCACCTAAAGGCAACTCTACTGCAAATTCTCACGCTAAAATCCTTCATGTCATTTAAAATTCCTTCTCAAATAACAGGACACCACTTGTCTGCAGTTTGTCATACTGTGGTGACGTGTGTTGTTATGATGCTGGAAGCTAAGTCATTGGTATTCAAATACCAGCAGAGTCACCTAAAGTGACAGATTTCAGCAGAACTTCCAGACTAAGAAAAGACTATGAAGAAGGAACAGGCTGTCCACTTCAGAGGAATTAGCCATTGAAAAATTTATAAATAGTAGTAAAATACTGCCAGATACGGAAAAGCTAATGAATAGGGCATGAAAATTTTCAGAGACAATGCCGGAAGATGAGCTCCCTCACATCAAGACACTCTAAATATGAGTTAGGAAAAAGTGCCTTTTCAAAGTAGTCTATCCTAATGATGTGGATGGGAAGTTGGAAAATATGATCTTGGTGATAGAAATGAAGCTGGTACCATGGACTGCCAAAAGAACAAACAAATCTACCCTAGAAGAAGTACAGCCAGAATGCTCCTTAGAGGCAAGGATGGTGAGACTTCATCTCAAGTACTTTAGACATGTTATCAGGAGAAATCAGTCTCTGGAAAAGGACATCGTGCTTGGTAAAGTAGAAAGGTAGTGAAAAAGAGGAAGACCCTCAACAAGGTAGATTGACAACAATGGGCTCAAAGATAAAAATATTATGAGAATTCTGTAAAGACCAGCCAGTGTTTAATTCTGTTGTACATAGGGTCACTGTAAGAATTAACTCAAAAGTACTTAACATCAACAGTCCAAAAGGAAAATCTGTTGGTTCTAATTTCAAAATATATTCAAAATTGAGTCACCTCTCACTACCTTACTGCTAACACCCTTGTCCCCACCACCATCTTCTCATATCTGCATTAATGTAATAGTCAACTGATCTTACAAATAATAGTCAATGATCTTGCTCCCCACCAACAATCTATCGTGTCAGATCACCTCTTTTTCTCTATTTACAATTCTCTTTGGGGGTCTCATTACACCCTGGGTGAAGGTCAGAATCCTTTAAGACCTTTCTCTCCATGGTCTCTCTATTCTACCTCAAGTCACACGCTGCTCATGGTCACATCTACTTTTTTGTTGCTGTGTACCGTCAAGTTAACTCAGACTTATCTAGTGACCCTATGTGACACAGAACTGCCCTATAGAATTTGCTACGACTGCAACCCAGCAGGGACAGATCACCAAGTCTTTTCTCCAGCAGAGCTGCTTGATGGGTTCAGAAAACAGACCTTACAGTTAGCAAGGGAATGTTTAACTACTGTACCACCAGCACCCAGAAGACTCTCAACAGTTATTCAATATATGAGTGGATGGAAAATAAGTATTATAATCTTAGTTGTACAGATGAGGAAATAAAAAGACGCAGAAAAATGAACTCAGTTGGGTTTACATTGCCATAACTGCTGAGAGGCTTAAGCCCTATACAAATAGTAAAATGCTGCAGAGGCCACATAACCACAGTCCTTCTCCTTGTAGAAACAGGCTGCCCCCTGGAGAAAAAAAACACCTATGAATCATGTTCTGTCTTCTGACCCTCCAAATTCCTTTCCATAGGCTAAAAAGCCAAACTGTGGAGGGCCTGACTACCCCAAAGTATCTACAGCTCACCACTGCCCAAATAACTCTCTGAAGCCTGCTGCCGCAGATGCTTATTAACTCCTAAGACAGGACACTGAGTGGGAAGTCAGGGACACAGGGAGAATGTAATATTTGGGGGCCCAACTATGATTGTGTTCTCTAACTTTGTTAAGAACAAACTCATGATTTGGTTCCTCTCTAATTGTTTTTTTCTCTGATGTGGGAGGATAAGGGATATGACGGACACCTTCAGGAACCCCAATGATCAATAACTCACAATCAAGGGAGGCCCAAGAGTCCAGCTTACCGCCGTGGGAGCCCAGTCCTGCCCATACACGAAGCAGTACTTGCAGTAGAGGTCATCATATTCTGGAAACTGTAAAAAGTCACACAAGTTGTTTACTGACACTCATGCTGAGGCCCACCAACATGATAGCTAGACAGGTGCCGCCAACAAGAATTCTGAACATGAGGTACCTGGGGTGGGGCAAACTGACATGTGGATATGGGGTTCGGCAGAGAGGCTAGGCTGGAAATCTGGAGAGTTCCAAAGAATAAACTCAAACCAAACTTACTACCATCGATTGAATTCTAACTCATAGTGACCCCATAGAACAGGGTAGACGTGCCCCTGTGGTTTTCCTAGACTGTACCTGTTTATAGGAATAGAAAGCCCGATCTTTCTCCTGAGGAGCGGCTGAGTTTCAAACTACTGACCTTGTGGCTTCAGCCCATCGTATAACCACTACACCACTAGGGCTCCAAGAAGAGTTCCAGACTACTACAATTCCTCAGGCTCTACCTTGTTTGATATGCCCTTCCTACTCCTTCATCTGGAAAACTTCTGCTCCTCCTTCAAATCCTTTTGGAAGCCTGCCCTAAAGTCCAAACTCCATTACTTCCTTGGCTTCCTTCATTCAGATCACTGATTGCCTATATCTGACTATCAACTTGAGTTGACTGTACACAGGCTGGATAGAGAGGTCTAAAGGGGTGAGGGTCAAGTGAAAGGTTTAAGAACCCAGGGAAGCCATCGGGACTACAAACTACAAGCACAGACCCAGTCTATGTGAGAGGCCTACTTGAACAGAATAGGGGAAATGTAAAATAAAGTCTTTGGTGCCAAGTCAAGGGGAGGTGCGCAAGGATGGGAACATGGGACAGGAGTATTTCTTCTGACTGGCGAAAGCAGATCAGTTCTACTGGGTGTCAAATACTGAGCACAGCTTTACTTGAGCATTCATTTAATCCTCATGTATGAGAATAACCTCAGTGTTACGGTGTAGCAAAGCTTTGAAGTCAGAAAGACCTCGGTTTAAACCCACGCTCTGCAGCTTCCTTTGCACAGGTTTGTCCACAAGTAAAAGTTTACTTTTATAATCTTACAACTTGTTGACACAAGTTTACTTTTATAATTTATAATAGTTAACGATTTTTATAGTGTTGGGGAAGGTCATGGAAAATAATAGTGCCCCCTTTGGTCTAACAGACAAACCTCCCTGGATGATTCCAAATCCCCACCATCGGTGGCTTGGATTACAGAACCAGACCCAATCTGGGTTCCCGGATCTGAGAATCTGAAACATCCCGATTTGGCCAGGGGCAGGGTATGCTGGGCCCGATCGCTCCAGTGACGCCTCGTGGTGCTCTAGCTAGTGATTCAACAAGGCCTGGGGTCATGAGTGTGACCAGATGTTCCTTCGGCTCGAACTCTGCCCTTGCAGGCCTCAGTTTCTACAAGGCGCCCAGCGGACTTCCAGTATAGTGGCATCGTCCAGCTCTCTTCCCCCACCTTACCCAGAGGGTAAAAGGCTTCGAGAAACTACAGGCCTCGCGGGGGCCCCAGCGCACCCCGAAGAGGCTGGGACCACCCTAGGCCGCTCACCTGGGCGCTCTCCACCTGCCCGTTGACCATAAGTAGGAAGACGCTGGGAACCACTGACTCCATAGCAGCTCTGCAGGAACGCGGAACTGCCTTCAGTTGCAAGGACGGTTGCTAAGAGACACTAGGCGCACCCCGGAGGCTGACGGCGTGGCACACGGGTCAAGTTTCTTCGCACGCAAATGCATCTGTGTAGTATTGCGCAGGCGCAGTCCGTGAGAGCTGCAAGTCGGGCCGGAAATGAGCGGATTAGGCAGTTTGGGAGCGGGAGCTCTCTTAGGGGATCCCCAGGGAAGGAGGCACAGGTTGAGTGCCCAGGAGAGGGTCAGCTACCTTGACACGAAAGGGAATTTCCCCAGTTGGCTCCAGGAATCACCCTACTTCAAGCCAGAAACATACTTTCTGCCACCGAGTCAATTTTGATTCAAGGTGATACTATAGGACAGGATGGAACTGCCTGTCAGTTTTGGAGATGCTGTTGTTTTTTTTAAATCATTTTATTGGGGGGCTCTTATAAATCTTGGTAACAATCCATCATTCAATAACATTAAACACACTTGTTCATATGTTGCCATCAACATATCCAAAACAATTTCTCTCTACTTGTGCCCTTGGTATCAGCTCCTCCTTTTACCCTTTCCTCCTCCACCCTCACACCTCGGTGAATCCTTGATCAATTATAAATTATTATTGTTATTTCATGTCTTACACTGTCAGTTGTTTCCCTTCACCCACCTTTCTGTTATTCCTCCCCTGGGTAGGGTGTGTGTGTCTATATATCCAAACTTGTGATGGGTTCCCTCTTTCATCCCCGCCTCCCAACCCTATCTCTTCATGATATCCATACTCCCACTACTGTTCCTGCGGGTTTGATCTGTCCTGAATTCCATGTGTCAAGAACTCTTATCTGTCCAGCCAGATTTGTAAGGTAAAACTGGGTTATCAGAGTGAGGGTGGGAGGAACATTCAGGAACTAGAGGAATGATTTGTGTTTCATTGGTCCCTTCCATGTAACCCCTCTGTGGGGGGATGTACAATTGTCTACAGATGGGTTTTGGGTCTCCACTCCAACCCCCCTCTTTCACATTGATATAATTGTTTGGGATCTTTTGATACCTGATACCTGCTCCTGTTGATACCTCATAATCACAGAGGCTGGAGTGCTTCTTCCATGTGGGCTTATTTGCTTTCCTATTAGATGGCTGCTTGTTTAACTTCAAGCCTTTCAGACCCCAGAGGCTATATCTTTTGATACCCGGGCACCATCCTCTTTCTTCACCACATTTGCTCATGCACCCATTTTGTCTTCAGCAATTATGTCAGGAAGGTGAGTATCAAAGAGTGCCAGGTTATTAGAACAAAGTGTTCTTGTGTTAACGGAGGCCTTGAGAAGAGGCACAAAGTCTGTTGCTATCTTAATGTACATAAATATATGTACATTGGCCTCTATCCCTTTCATTATAAATTAATATATTTACATATATACATACCTATAGCTATACCTCTATAAATAGCTTTTGCCTTGATGATAACTCTTTAAGGGAATAGAAAGCTTCATTTTTCTGCTGCAGAGTTATTGGTGGGTTTGAACTGCTGACCTCATGGTTAGCACAACAGTCACTATACCACCAGGGTGCCTACCTTGGGCAAAACAGGTATCCTTTTACAGTGGTATAGTGAGATATATTTTGGGATGCTAACTGAAAGTTCAGCAGTTTGAAAACACCAGCCTCTGCGCAGAAGAAAGAAGAGGCTTTCTACTCCCGTAATGAGTTACAGTCTTGGAAACCCACAAAGACCCTATTCTGTCCTTATAGGGTCACAAGGAGTCAGAATTCACTCGGTGGTTTTGGTTTGGGCCCCCAAATTACTTATTAGACTTGGGAGGAATTAAAAAAATCCTTACATGTAAGCTTTCTATTAAAGTTAGGTAACCCGAGGCTCATAGAGGGACCTGGGACTGCAGCAGAACCAACAATCTGAGGCTCTGTTGTTGACTAGTCGATTCTAAGCCCCATAGTGCACCTTCAGTTTTCCAAGGGAATAATCTTTTGAAAGCAAACTGCTACATCTGTCTTCCATGCAGCAGCTGGTGTGTTCAACCGCTGACCTTTCAGTTAGCTAACAACAGCTTACCCACTGCATAACTTCTATCCTCTTTAGCAAATTTATGCAACAACCACTAAAGCCAGTGATCGAGAAATTGAAGAATTCTACTAACATCTTCAGTCTGAAATTGATCAAATATTCCGTTAAGATGCATTGATAATTATAGGCGATTGGAATGCAAAAGTTAGAGACAAAGAGGAGGGAACAGTAGTTGGAAAATATGAGGATAGCAATGAGGCTGGAAATCACATGATGGAATTTTGCAACATCAATGGCTTTCTTCATCACAAATACCTTACACAGAAATCAAATTGGCTATATTGTATGAAGAGAGGATGGAAAAACTCCATTTCAGCAGCTAAAACTAGGCCAGGGTCTGACTGAAACAGACTGTCAGTTCGGGTTGAAACTGGAGAAAATTAATAGAAGTCCAGGAGAACCAAAATACAACATACAGTTATCCCACCTGAATTCTGAGAACATCTCAAGAACAGATTTGATGCATTAAACACTAATGAAAGAAGTCCTCATGAGCTGTGGGATGACATTAAGAGCATCATACATGATGAAAACAAAAGGTCATTGCAATGACAGGAAAGAAAGAGAAAGTCGAGTGGATGTCAGAAGAAAGTCTGAAGCTTGCTCTTTTTTTTTTTTTTTTTT